GAATGAAGGAGCTTATTAGGTTCTAATGACCAGCAACCTAGGAAAATGGAAAGTTGGAACTGAGGCCTTGTACCCCAGTGTAAGGACAAACCAAAAACAATTGCTTGCTCACACAGTGAGATGACAAAGAAGCCTGTTTGTCCTTAAAAAAAAAGCTTTTCCTTAAAACTCATAGAGGTGCCCTCACATGGATATGATTAAATTTATATAACTAGAGTGGTCTAGGACCCAACCTGCCAAGAAATTAATACAAAATACTGTCACATACTGGCAATACCGTTGGGGTACCTTGTTAAAACAAACATAAAAACTCTCTGGGAGGCCACCCCCCCTAGGATTCCCCTATGTGAAGTCCCAACTAAAGATTAACTTACAATAAAAAATTAGAAAACACAGAAAACAATCCACAGAAAGCAAGAGCCAGCAAACAAAACAAAAAATCAATATTAAAACCCCAAGAATTTTAGGTAATATACTTATCAGGTAGATTATAAAATAAATATTTTAAAGTTATAAAAGCCATAAAAGAATAAAAGACACAATGAAAGAATAAGACACCATCAAAAAAAAAAAAGAGAGACCAGGCTGAGTTAGATAAGAAATCAAAAATAACTTCAGAGCTTAATAAAAATTACAATAGAAAAATTAAACTTCAGTGTTAAACTGAAGATGGCATATCATTGAATAAATGACTAGTGACTGGAAAGAGAGGTCTGAGGACCATGCAGAGACCTGCACAGAGAAATGGAGAGAGACGGCATGGGGAGGGGGGCTGAAGGACAGGGGTGTGGAATCAGAGGGTCCAACACACACCTATCAGGTGTACCAGAAGGAAACAGAAAAATGGAGGTGAGGCCGTATGTCAAGATAATCAATGAGAATTTTCCAGAAGTAATAAAAGATACAAACCTTAGCATGTTAGTAATACTGAATTCTGTACTAGACACAACACAGTGTAGCTGAAACAACACCAAATAGAAAGGCAAGCGCCTAGAAGCACTGCTATGTTGGAGACCTGCTGCCTGCAGAGGAATGAGCATCAGATTGCCTAGAATCTTGCAAAGGCAACAACAGAAGCCAGGAGATAGTGGGGTGATATATTAAAAGTCCTAAGAAAAAATAACCATCAACTCCCATTCTAATTGAACCAGCATTTAAGAATATGGACAAAACAAACATCCCCAGGAAAATGAAAATGAAGCGTGTTTACCACTTACAGATCTTTGCTGAAAGAATTAATCAAGAATGTACTTCAGAAGCATTTGACCCTAAGAAGCAGTGAGATGTATGATATTAGATAGAGTTAAACAAATATTTTAATACATAAAAAGCCTAATTGGGGAGTTGAAAAAACAAGATGGAATGAAGGTACTGGTCACAGTAGTTTGTAAGTGGGTGGGAGGTTAGCAAAGGTCCAGCATTCAGGCATTTTGGGGAGAAAGGTGACAATGTTGCTTAACTTTAGACTATTAAATCAGTTATGTTTATTAAAAGATATGTAAAGGTAATCACTTAAGATGAGAAACTGTATGTATAATTTTTAAGCCAGTAGAGAGGACATCACTGTTTATAAAAAATTTGGTCAATAGTAACTAAATGCAAGAAAGGAAAAAAGAATCAGAAAAAATCAGGTTAAATATAAAGCATGAAACAAGTGACTGAAAGATTCCAATATAGCAGGACTCAGAACAATAGTAAAATAAACTCTCAACTGGAAATATTGTCAGTTGTATTGGAATTAAAAATGCAACTATAGCTTTAAAAAAGACAGAGTTAGAACTTAAGGACAAAAAAAAACTATTGAATAGAAAAGTGTAGAAAATACAAGCAAAATACTAGCCCCATTAAAGTGATGTGATTATAATTAGAGTAGACAAGGTTGTCCCTGAAGAAATAAAAAAGTCACTAAATAAAGACAAAAACAATTTACTCAGAAGAGATTATATAACTCGAAGGCAGCTAAAACATAGCATCAAGTGAAATGAGGCAAAAAGTTGATAAAATTTCAAAGATGAATGGACAATTGCATAGTCATAGGAAGATTCCGATGCCTCTCTTTCAGTAACTGATAGTTTAGAAAGACTGAAGTTAGTGAAGATGTAGAACTGAACGATGCAACCAGCCAGCCGGGTCAAAGCGACACGTGGAGAATGCTCATTCTTTCCAGGAACACATGACACATCCACCCAGAGATCTCATTAGGCCACAAAGCAGTTCGTGTGAAATAGCAGCGAATCATAGAGACCACATTCTTGAGAATACTCAATTGCTACACAACAAAAACAACAATGAAAACCACACCATATATTTGGATTTTTTGGTGGGGGGAACCCTCTATATAATTTATGACTATAAAAGTGTCTTAACGGAGGGCCTAAGAGCAAATTATTGACACTAATAAGAGAGGCCAGTGAGATCGCTGGCTGTATAGATTTTTATTTACTGGCAATGAGCAAGTAGAAAAATATAGTTTGGATAATATATAATATCTATGAAAAGAGCAATAAAAATGTAAAGGAACTAGGAATAAATTTACTAAAAGATGTAGAAAACATTTTTGTGTAAAATTTGAAAGATTCTTGAAGATCTAAATAAATGAAAAGATACCCTATATTGATGGATTTGTAGAATCAATTTCTAAAATGCTACATTTCTGCCATTTATAAGTTGAATGTGTTCCTATTAAAATTTAAATGTGTTTTTTGAGATTCACAAGTTGATTCAAATATGTAGAAGGTAGAGAAAAGAACAAAGAATGCCAGGACAGTTTTGAAGAGGAAGATCAACCTCTGAGGGCTCACTCACTCTGCCACTGTAGCAAGACTCAACCACAGTTTAGGTAATAATAAAATGTGGTATTAGCTTAGAGTGAGACAGAATAGAGTTTAGAAAGAGGCCCACATACATATGGAAATTTGTATATAGCAGAGATGCTATTTCAAATCAGTGGGGAAATCAGAACTTTTAGCAAACTGTGTTGGAAAAATTGCTTATCCATAAGGAAAAAATAAGTTAGATTTCCTACATCAAACTATATTTAAATGGATTAAAGACTTAATATGTGACAAAGTATGACTTAAAAAGTTTTGGAAGAAAATTAACAGAATGTTTTTGTGATCCCAGGGTAGGAAAAGATTTCTTAAACACCACACCACAAGCACAAACCAGAAATAAATAAATAAATAACTGTTAATAAACATGACATTACAATAGTTTAAGAAAACCCTTTGGACATTATAGATACTACAAACCATGTCTAAGGTTTGTGAAAAACCTGTGTTTTTCACAAACCTTAGACATGGAGAAGACATTTGACATGCACACAGCCAAGAAAGGATTTGGCTCAGAATTTATAAACAGCTTCAATGTAAAAGGCCAAATGACAAGAATGTGGAATCCTCAAAAGGACACCAACAGCCTCAAAACATAAAAGAAAACATGTTCCTCCCTCCTGGTAATTGACCAGTTCTTCTTTGTTTCATTTACATGAATGAAATGAAACAAAGAGGAACTGGTATTTCATAGTCATTACACTGGTAAAAGTGAAAAAAAAATCTGACAAAGGGTAAAAGAACACTCCTTTGAAGGGCCAGAGGCAACATCTAGTAACACGCCCAGATCTCAGGGCCAGAGGGTTTGAGCACCACCCCCCTCACTTCACACAGCAGTGTTTATGACAATGAAAAGTTGGAAGAAAGCTTAAACGCCCAGGTATGGGATCTAGCAAGGAACAGCTGTTTTATTAAACACATTGTATGCAGATGTGTTTGCTTCTTTTATTTTCTATAGTGATTTTTGTCTGCCTAAAAATTAGCCCTGTGAGGGTTACGGAGAAAAAGCACTTGCACAGAGCCAGTGTGACTGTCTATCTGTGTAACTACTTTCAAGGCTAAGAGATAATTTGACTGTAGCGTCATTCTTTTCAATTGCTTGAATGGACTAAGGTGGAAGTTTGGTTAACAATTATATTGACAAAAGTGCTGGGAAACAGACACTCTCACACACTGCAGGTGTGAATATAGTGGGAGCACACCTCAGTGTGCTTTATTATTAATTTCGGCATTAACAAAATTGTAAAATCCCTCTGGCCTAGCACAATTTTCCTCTAGGTACTTATTCTGAGAAAAATGATAACCCCTATGAAACCAAAGGTTTCTTTACATAAAAGTTCATCTTAATAACCGCAGCATTGTTGGTAATACTAATAATTAAACAGACAACTTAACACTAACACTATCTACACTAGTAACACTAGATTAATAATGTCTAATACTAATCAATTCTAACTTATGATACAACTGTAGGATGGACTATTATGCAGCCACCAAAATGATGCTGTTGAAACTCTTTAATGATGTAGAAACACTTGCAAAATATTAAGCTAAAATCAAGTAGGTTACAAAATAGTTTGTAAAACAGACCATTAAAAATAGCTGTCTTTTATTCATTGAGGCAAAGAAACAAAATGTTACCAATAGTTACTTCTGGATAGATTATACGTGATTTCTATTTTCGTCTAGATTTTTTTCTTGTCTTTCCCCCAAATTGTCTATGTGCAATTCTTATTTTAATAGGAGTCTCCTTTGTTGAAATATTGTAATTTAAACAGGCTGAATGATACCGACTAATAACCATGCCGCAAGGCTGGGAGCCAAGAACAACAGATTTGCCTGGTTCCTTGGCAAGTCTAGTGAGTTTCTGAATATTACAGAATCTACAAAGACTGAGGACCTGGGTTCGTCGGTGACGTCACCACGGACAAGCTGGGCGACTGGGGAAGCCGCTTGACCTCTCTGAATCTGGTTTCACCTCCATAAAAAGGACACAGAGCCTCGGCTGGCCTCGCTCCTGGCTTCGTTATGCGGGTCAGCGGCACGGTGTCACGCGTTGGAGCGCGGTTTGCAAAGCCCCAAGCGCCGGGCGTTACGCGGGGATTGCTGTAGCTGCTGCCGGCCGCAGGAGCAGCGACGCCAGTTGGGGGCGCGCGGGGGCGGGAACGCGCGCAGATCGCGGGCGCTGGGGCGGGCGTGGGGGCGCCCTGGCGGTTGCTGGCTGAGGAAAGGCACGCCTGCCGCTTCCGCCACTCGCTGGGGATTCCCCCTGAGCGGGCGCCGGGGGAAGTCCCTGTGGGCGCCGGTAAAAGGGCGCCGCGCGGCACCAGCGCGCCACAGACCCTCAATCTCCCAGCCATGTCGCGCGGCCTCCAGCTCCTGCTCCTGGGCTGTGGTAGGTCCCGGGACCGCCTGTCTCCCCCGTCCTCCCCTCGGCACCCCCTTTCCTCGCTTGCTCACGCCACTGTCTCTCTCTTTCTTGCAGCCTGCAGCCTGGCGGCAGCAGCGCAGGAACTAAAGGTGGCATGTTCCGAGAATGTGGACTTGCCTTGCACCGCCCCGCGGAACCCGTGGGTCCCCTACACGGTGTCCTGGACTAAGGTAAGAGCCGAGAGGCCCGCGGGCTGGGGTTAGGTCGGCTCCACTGGAGGCAGCGGAACGACCTCCCTAAGGTTGGCGACCTTCTGAGGCTGGGGATGGGGGCATCTCCCAAAGATATCTCCAATCTTTGACACGCCTCCCTGTCCTCGTCCCAACGCTTTTGGGCATCCAGGAACGCGGCATTCTTAGATTTTGTTCCTGAGGACCTGAATCCTTTCCTGCCCCTAAAAATGGCCCGAGATGAATGACCCACATAAGGCGTTTGGGGAGGGCAGATAACTGGTTGGATCAATTCTGAAAGGCCGCCTCGGTTGGGTCGGTAGGTCAGGGAGAAAACAGCGAGGGTAGACTTGGACATTGCACGGGAAGATTTCTGATTTCTGGTGTTTTGTGATGGTGATGCCCATCAGTTTGGGGGCACAGGGTGGACGATTGGACTAGAAGGCCTGAGAGAGAGACCAATTTAGGTTTGTTTCATAGGTGGTAGTTTTCTGTCAGTCATTCCTTTTCTGGAATACCCTTGGCCGCCTCTTTTATCCCTTGCTTCTCCATTCTCTGGCAGTTCTGAGAGGAGCATCGAGGAGGGCGTCTGTGAGGGTGGATGAGTGCTGTCCACGCGTGGAAGAACAAGCGTCATTGTCCCTTTTGTGAGAGGATTGAGTCGCACTGAGCCTTTTTTTTTTTTAAAGGTTTCCTTTGAATTGGATCATTTTCAGGTTCTAAGAGTGCGGTTCTGGTGGCATTGCAAAACCAAGCTGCCACTGTTTTCTGTCACTGGCTCTTTGCTCACCTCTTTTAATGAGGTTACTGCCACAACAGCACCTCCAGTTTAAGCCAAATGACTATGATATCCCAACCTTATTCTGCAGCTGTCACTCATAGGCAGTCTTACCTTGGAGCAAGTCCCTGTGCGTTTGTACCTCACTGCCAGAGCAGGATTCTCTGCTGCTGTGCGTAAAAGATGCTATAAGAACCTGAATGTGTGTGTCTGGCTATTTGACAAGGCTGCATAGGACATGTATATTGTGTGTGTGTCCTTGGAGACAGTGCCATGCAACTGCCTTTGTGCATTGTGGATGGCACTCAGAGTTTGCTCTGTTGGTTGGGAAGGTGGGTGCTGAGTGAGTTCAGACTGGCACCCAGTGAGTTGTGCACAGTGGAAATGGTGCTGCTATCTTGGCCTTGGGGCACTGTGTTGTGTGTGAAAGTAGGTTTGTTATTCCTACTTCATTTCCACCCCATTCTCTGTGGGATCAGAGAATAGGGATCACAGCTAATGGTAGGTAGAGATAGCCCAGGTCCTGTTAACCCAACTTTACTTTCCTTGTCTCTGGGTGTCTTTCTCTGGGATCCAACAGTGGGTCCTCCTCTCATCCCTTTCTATATTGTACATTTCCAAATTGTTCTCATTGTAAAAAAAATACTATTTCAACAAAAGTAGTTGAAAACCAGTATTATTTGAGTATTCATCATCTGCTAAGCTCTGAGGTAACTATTTAAATATTAGCTATTTCATTCCTTCCAAAAGATCTTCCAAGAGATCAGTCCTTTTTCTTTTTTTTCCTTAGAGATGAGGAAACAGCCTTAGGGAGTGAAGTAACCTTAGCACTGTTACGTGACTGGCTAATTGATGGAGTTGGGATCTGAACCAAGCAGGCTGACTCCACAGTCTGAGTTCTTAAAGGTCTATCTTGATGTTTGTTTTCTCCCTTAATTACTTAAGGTGGTGATTTTTAATTGGTGTGCTGCAAGAACTTTTAACACATGTAATAGCTCACTATTTAGTCAGGGGCACTGACCTCTTTTCCCTTACACTGTCAGAGGAAAGAATGACAACAGCCAACACAACAATAGTCATCCACTGTGAATGAATCAAAATTATACCTACTTTTTGTCAGATCAGCAAAAAATATATTTTTGGTGTGTCGCAGAACTTTAGTAATTAGTTTATGTGTGCCATGAGATGAAAAAGTTGAAAATTGCTGACTTATGGTAAAGAAAGTGAAAATGTTCCTGGGCTAGCCAGGCAGGGTTTTCATTATCTTAAAAAAGGGGGGAAACATGAAATCGCTATTCCTTCCAGAGAGTAATTAAAAAAAGAAAACAATGTTAATATCCCCAGGAGAGTAGTGAAAAACTACTCATGAAACAAGCAGATGAAATTTCAGAGTGTAAAGTTCAAACAGTTGTCAAGTTAAATTTTCTTGCATGAGGTCACTTGGAATATACAGTAAACCATAGCAATTAACCTTGGGCTTCCCCTTGGATGTCAGCTGATGATGTAACTCTGAAATGTATGTGCTTGTTTATTGAACATGGTTCTTGCATGATTTACCCTGAAGGTGTCTCAAAACTGTGTTTTAAAAAACAACAAAACAAAAGTCTCTTGGCACTCTCTTTCTCCTATTGGTCCATGGAATAGAATCATTGAAAAACCATACCATAGTTTTTTGTTTTTGTTTTCTTTTTAGAAGTAAACTGTGATTGAGTACTGGTGGATAGGAAAGCCATGCTCTGCCAATAATAAACTAAATCAGACACCTCAAAAATAATATGCGTTTTTCCTTCAAGAACTTTTTAACAGGTCTCAGAATATTCTGTAGATAGTTGTTCTTTTCCAACCCAGTAATTATACGTTTGCATTGATTGTTCTTGTACAACAAAAGCAGATAGTGTTCTGGAAATAAGGCTAGTGGTAAAATGTGCAAATACTTAATTTTATGGAGGATTAAGTATCTTGTCATTCTACCCCACTGCCCCCTCCCAACTTTCTTATAAAACATTTCAGTCAAGCAGAGATAGCTGTAAAGTGAGGACTTTAAACCTGGTGGCTCTGGCCAGCCTAGCTCCTGCCACCTCCTTGCACTAAGCTCCCTTAGAGCGTGGGGTTTCCACTGTCCACCAGACTGAATCACATTCTTGCAGGCCTTCTGCATATCACAATTATGGTTATAATGACTCACAATTAGAAAGTCCATGTACCACTGCTGGTTCTCCAGCAGTAGAGAGCATCCTGCCACTGTCCAGTTGGCACTGATCACTTGTGATTAACAGAAGACCTCTGTAAACCATGTTCTCTTCATGTGCCTTTTACCGACTCAAAGCAGACGGTTTCTGGGTGGTGCCTGTAACATTAGGGTGAATGGGGAAGGAACAGTGGCTACTTTATTCTCTCTGTTACAAAGGAACAGTGAAAGGGGGCCAGAAGGGGCTTAATATAGACATGCACAGGGAGGTCAAAGGTGGAGCCATTGGTAGGTAGAGATAGCCCAGGTCTTGTTGACCCAACTTTACTTTCCTTGTCTCTGGGTGTATTCCTCTCTGGGATCCAACAATGGGTCCTCCTCTCATCCCTTCCTATATTGTACCTTTTAAGGCCGCATGTGTGATTGAGAAGAAATACAAAAGTGAATACAGTACCTCCATTAAATTTAGCTTTGAAAGCTAATGTGAGTAGATTGTGGTTGTTTGGAGAGGTATTTTGAGAAAATCTGTGAATCAACTTTGGTCCAGCACTCTTCCTCCACTGGCTGAGACCCTGGGTTGGACTGTAGCAGAAGAGGGCACAGCACAGTCCTCTGTCTGCCAGGAGTAAGAACACCCCTTCAGGGGCTACATCTGTGCTCCGTACTGAGCGTCATTTGTCCATGCTCTCTTTAATAAAGCTGCATGGGTTTGGAAGGAGAGGATGAGGTTGGGTGGAGTGTTTGGGCTTGGTTGATGTTTGCTGCTACTACCGAGGAGTGCTTCTTAGTCAGGAACGTGCAGTACCGTCTTTTCTCATGCCAGGAGCTCTGACAGCCTATGTTGATGCATAACGAAAGAGGATATATAGTTCATTTCTGGGTGACATTGTGGGGGACAGACATGCGTCACAAGACAAGTGCTCTTTTTAGATGATTTCCAAAGGAAGGGAGAAAGGGGAAGTAAGACTCTGGTTTCAGACAATCAACCCAACTTGAAGTTTATAATATTTAGAAGAACCTTAGCTGTGGAAGATCCTGGGATGTCCTGTGGACTACAGGATCTGTGGGAGAGTGAGTTAATGGCTTGCATAAGGCTACTTCACCACACGGATGTTTCTTATTCTTCATTATGAAGCTGTCTGCCATGGACATTGCTAACCTCCTCTTCAGTGGAGTTATGTTTTTTGTCTCCACCATCTTGTGTAATAATGAGCCACACAGCAGGAGGCACTGAGGAGAGCATAGTGTTTTGGGAAGGGCTGAAGTGGATGAATGGCCCAGGCAGATGTAATTGGTGCAGCCAAGGACCCCAAAGGACCCATGAAGGAGCCAATGCATGCCACTCACTGTACTGCCTTGATTTTAGAATGCCATCTGCTGTAAGAGAGATTTAAGAACAAGTCTTTAGGAGAAAAAGGAAACACTTGTACATTAAATATAGTGGCACTAAAACATTGAAAGGTGAAAACAATGTGTGTATTGCCTTCAAAGAAAAATCATACTTTCCCCATTGGCACCTGTACTGCTTGATCTGTTTGAACCACTTTTATGCGTTCCACATGAGTTCAGATTATGAAAGACATAAAGTTGGTTTTCAGGTGTCTGTCATATTTATACTTCCATTATTTAGTAAATACTTCTAAGTCCCAAATATGCGCTAAGTCCTGGGCCTGGAAATGGCCATCTGAAGATCAACACAGACCTTTTGCCAGAGGACCATCTGGAGCAAAGGCATGGACATAGGAATCCGCAAGCATTTTGGGGAATCGATAGACAACCTGTGGTTCAGAGTGGGGGGATTATACAGAAGAGGCTGAGAGATAATGTTAAAAAGTAGGCTGGAAACAGATTGTAAAGAACCTTGAACGCCAAACTTTAAGGCCTTGAACTTTATCCTTTCAACAGCAAGGAGCCATTTGAAGTTTTTAAGGAAAGAGGATGACATAGTGAAAAATGCCATATTTCTTGTGAAGGACAGAATATGATTCATCCTGAAAGATGAATCTTAGAGGATGGCTTTACTCTTTCACTATG